CTGATCATTTCTTTGCTATGCAAATAAATTTTTAGTTCATTTTTGCCTTTGTTGCCTATGCTTTTGGTATTATATCCAAAAAATTGCCAAGACCAAAGTCAAGGAACTTTTCCTCTAGGAATTTTAATTTTAGATCCTACATTTAAGATTTTCATCCATTTTTAGTTGATTTTTGTATAGTATAAGAATGGATTCAATTACATCTTTTGTACGCAGATACAGAGTTTTCCTAACTCTACTACTGAAGATACTTCCTTTTTTCTGTGGTGTGTATAATCTTTGCATATTTATCAAAGACTAGATGATCACATATACATGAGTTTATTTCTGGACATTCTGTTTTGTTCCATTAGTCTATGCAATATGTATGTGTTACTAGTGATTGAACTCAGGTGCTTCACACTAAGCTATATCCACAGCCTTCTTCTAAAATGTTGAGACAGGTTTTCACTAAATTACTAAATTTTGCAGGCTCAAACTTGTGATCTTCCTGCCTCAGCTTCCCAAAGTGCTGGGATTATAAGTATGTGCCACCATGTCTGGCTAAGTACCTGTCTTTTTTTAAATGCCAGTATTGTTTTGTTTACTATAGCTTTGTAATAGAGTTTGAAATCAGGGAGTATGAAGTCTCCAGCTTTATATTGTTTTTCAAAATTGCTTTTGCTATTGGGAAATTTTTCTCTGTTTTGTGAAAAACATTAGTGGGATTTTGATTGATTTTATCTGTAGATAGCTTTTAGTAGTATGGACATTTTAACAAAATTATTCTTTCAATTCATGAACAGGAGAAATAATTTCATTTATTTGTGTCTTCTACCATATCCTTCATCCAATCTTACAGTTTTAAGTGTATAAATCTTTCACTTTCTTCATTAAATTTATTTCTAAGTTTCTTTTTAATGTATTGTAAATGGCATCATTTTCATAATTTGTTTTCTTGATGGTGTGTTAGTGAGCTTTTTGCCACTATAACAAATACCTAAAAGCCCAGGTGTAGTGGTGCACACCTGTAATCCTAGCACTTGGGAGGCTGAGGTAGAAGGATTGCTGTGAGTTTGAGACCAGCCTGGACTACCTAGTGAGTTCAAGGCCAGCTTGTACTACATAGTGAGGCCCTGGCTCAAAACAAACAAACCCAAGTATCTGAGATCATTAACTTATAAAGACAAAAGGTGTATTTTGGCTCACTGTTTTGGGAGTTCTGGTCCATGGTGGGCCCATTGCGTTCAGGCCTGTGGCAAAGCATACACTATGGTTGGGAGTGCAGGGCAGTGCACAGCTGCTCATTTCATACCCAGGAAACCAGAGAGGAGGAAGGTGGGAGGGTTCCGGTATTCCTTGAGGACAACCCTCAATGATTCCACTACCTCTCATTAGACCCCACCTTCTAAAGGATTGACCATCTCTTAATAGCACCTCCCTGGGATCAAACTGCCAACCCATGAGCCTTTGGGGGATATTGAAAATCCAAACTATGGCAGATAATCTGTTGGTAGTGACTAGTAATGAATTTTGGAAAATTCACAGATGTGTGGAAATTAGGTAGCACAATGGACCATGGAGGAAATCAAAAGGGAAATAAAATAGTTTATGTTTAAATTTTATTTTTTATTAGTACACATTTTCAGCACATGCAGTTCACAATCATCTTGAGGAGAGCATACATGGATATAACATTTCTTTTTAAAATTCCCTTCCCTCTCCCCGCCGTCTCCTCTAATTCCCCTTTCCCCATTTCATTCTTGTCATTATTAATCTTAGCTCATGTTTATGGCATATAATGATTATATTCATTGAAGTTTTCGGGTTCTTGTCCATAGCATTCTTTTATTCTACTTATTTCTCCTTCCTTTCCCCTCCGGCTCTCACCCCTAGTTTCTTGGACTTTTTCTCATTTGCAAGTAATCCATCCCCTTGTCTCCTTCTATTCTTCCCTTATTTTTCTCTTAGTTTGTACTCTGCCTTACTCAAATGAGAGATACCATATGGTATTTAGGCTTGTGTGTCTAGTTTATTTCATTCAACATTATGTTTCCCAGGTATATTCATTTTACCAAAAATGTCTCAAATTTGTCCTCCTTTATAGCTGAGTAGTATTCCATTATGTATAGATGCCACGTTTTCTTTATTCAACTGTCTACTGATGGGTACATAGGCTGTTTCCAGGATATAGCTGTTGTGAATAGTACTACTATAAACAGTAATATGCATGTACAGTACTGCTGTAGTATGATATCTCAAGCTCTATGGGGAAGATTACTAGAAGGGAGATAGCTGGATCATACAGAATTTCTAATTTTAGTGCTTTGAGAAATCTCCGTATTGATTTCTATCAAGGTTGTACCAGTTTACATTCCCACCAGCAATGTAGAAGGGATTCCTTTTTCAGTACAGCCTCTCTATGTAGCATTTGTTATTTTTTGATTTCTTGATGATTGCCATTCTTTCTGCAGTAAGATGAACCTCAGCATTATTTTAATTTGCATTTCTCTAATGACCAGAGATGTTGAACATTTCTTCAGATATTTGTTAGTTATTTGTATTTCTTATTCTGTGAAGTATCTGTTCATTTCACTTGCCCAATAAAAGTTTCTTGAGAAAACACACACACACACACACACACACACACACACACACACACACCTTAAATGATATAGCAAACACATTTTAAGAGAGATGTTTATGCCAAAAATACCCTCAATTAAGAAAAAAGAGCTTTAGTGCTGAGGACATAGCTCTGTTTAGAGTACTTGCTTGGCATATGGAAAGTACTGGGCTCCATCCTCTGTATATCACACATACAACCGCACACAGGATTTCAAATAAACAACCTTACAACCTAACCTTGATTTTATAACCGCAAATAATTAGAAAAAGAAGAAAAAATGAAGCCTAAAGAGAGCAGCAGGAAAGAAATAACAAAGATGAGAGCAAAGATAATTGAAATGAAACTAGAGAGACAACAGAAAAGATCAGTGAAGCCAGGCAGGGCGGCACATGTCTGTAATTCCAGCAGTTAGGAGGCTGAGGTAGGAAGACTGCTCTGAGTAGGAGGCCAGCTTGGGCCAAATGGTAGCTCAAGACCAGCCTAAACTACATAGTGAAACCCTGTTTCAAAACAAAACCAGCAACAACAACAAACAAGATCAGTGAAACTAAGAGTTGGGTTTTTGAAAAGATCAATAGATTTGACAAAATTAGCTAAAGTAACCAAACAGAGAGAGAGAGAGAGAGAGAGAGAGAGAGAGAGAGAGAGAATTCAACTAAATAAAATTATAAATGAATGTGGAAACAGTACAACTGATATCACAGCAATACAGAGGATCATAGTAGACTTCTGTGAACAATTATTTGCTAGCAAAGAGAGTAATTTAGAAGAAGAAATAGATAACTAATCAAAAGTATATCACCTACCAAAACTGAGTCATAAAGGCATAGAAAATCTGAATAGCACAATGACTAAGGAGATCAAATCAGTAATCAAAAACCTTTTAACAGGCTGAGGATTTAGCTCAGCAGCATAAGCGCTGGCCTGGCAAGTGCAAGGTCTTGAGTTTGATCCCTGGTACAATCCTCCCCCTCAAAAACAAGCCTTTCAACAACAGAAAGTGCAGAACCAGACGTGACCTGCTCTTCACTTAGCTTTTCCCACACCTTGTCCTACTTTCCTTCTCCTGCGCCCTCCCTCAATAAATCACTTGCACTGGAATTTTCCACAGTCTCTGCTTAAAGGGAAGACCTGGAGGGCACAGAGGATGGAGAGAGATTTGCGAATTAAAATTTTTTCTGAGTGAAACTGACAGATATCTTAGTTCTTAAGGTTTTCTGGCCATCTGATCTTGGGAATGCTCACTAGTATAGGTTCTCTGAGCTGTTCAGTCTCAGAGCATCCCACCAACCTCCTTCATTCCCTCCCTTCTCTTCACACCCTTTCTTTCTAGTTGGCCAAAATAGCTCCAAATATTTCTTGCTATTTCAAGGAGCAATGCAGTGTTCCCCAGCCCAAGATTCTGAACTCATTTGGGGCTTACTTTGGCAAATGAAAGCTACTCAGCAACTTGGGACAACAAAAAGGGGCATCAGTTTAAGGTAGCTGTGGTTGTGAACAGCAGTCATTTGTTCTCTCCATGACACTCACTACCTGGTCCTCTGCAATCTGCATGAACACAATGCTTAGTACCTTTCACACCGTGTATAATACTATACATGCTCCTTAGTCAAAGTCTTCTAAGGGCTTAGGACCATTCACTCCACTCCCAAGGCATTTAGAATAAAACTCAAACTCTGACCCTATCTGATAAGACCCTGTGTCCTTCCTATTTCTCTTACCAAATTGCTTCTGGCTTCTCTGTTCCTTTATTTCCCAGCCATTGAATGGTTCCTCATTCACATTCTTGCACTATTGCACTTGCGCTTTGCACTTGCAAGTCCCCAAGTAAGTCCCCAACCTTCTGGCTAACTCACTGATTCTTGGGTTTCCATTCAAATGTTTGCTTCTTAAGAGAGGTTCCTCTGGCCTTGCAAATTAAAGGAGGCCTTCTGCTTTTAACTTCTTTCACGGCACTAGGATGCAGCTTTGAGTTGTCACAGTAGGTGTACTTACCTGTTAGTGCTTTGTTTCCTCTACGGCCCTGTACTACTACTCAGGTTCTTTCTTCTTCGTGGTGTTAGTGGGAAGTCAGTGTCTGACGCTCTGGGAGTGCTGCTCAAACTTTGCTGAAGCTCTCCACTGGATGGCTCCTCCACCTCTTGGCGGTGCCCTGGCTTCTGAAAATGGTGCTGTGCCCTGCTTCAAGGTGATCTCAGAAAGCTAGTGCCGGCTTTTTCCAGCCCTACTGCGGGGGACTGGAGCTCCAACACGCGCTCAAAGTTCACAACGGCACGCCCCCATCTTCCGCCTTGCTTCGCAGGGTCCCTGCCTGAGCACTACAACTCCCCTAAGGCACTGCGGAGTCATGCAACCTGATTGGCCAAACTTGTAGTGCCGACCAATGGGACGGGGTTTTGTTGTTCGGGCCGCGGCCGTCTGAGTCAGGAGGCGCTCAGCGCGGCGTCTGCTGGTTGCTCTGGAGTCGGGTAGCGTGGTCGTCTGCCCGCCTACCTGCCGGTCTGCCCGCCTCAGGCCATGGGGAGCACTGAGAGCAGCGAGGGTCGCAGGGTGTCCTTCGGAATGGACGAGGAGGAGCGGGTCCGGGTGCTGCAGGGCATCCGGGTGAGCACCGCCTCGTGGGCCGGGTGGGCATGGAGGGCACCCGGGGGCGCAGGGACCGAGGCCCGTGGTTCCCCCCGCTGCGCCTCTCTCGTGGAGCCCTTTCACCGTGGGAAGGGTCGTGGGCTTGGGAAAATTACCAGGTTTCGTGTCCAGCAAGAGGCTACGCATGGACCCGAACTGAAGGCTGCAGTGAACAAGCCGCACTACAGTGGTTTCTGGGGGAGTGAAGAACGTGACAGGTGGGGAGGCCCGTAGGACAAGAGGGAACCTGGGGTCATTGCCCCTCTGGTTGGCTTTTTACATTTCCCGAATTGGCTCTTCATTCAACCATCCTGTCCCACCGCCCAAGAACGCGCGTGTTGTTATGTGTGCGCGAGATGTTTTCCCTCTTGGTCAACTGCATCAACCTCTTAACCGGGGATTATTTACTTCCACACTTGCCTGACAGTCTTCTCCACAACGCAGCCAAAGAGACACTGTAAAAATTGTAGATAGAATAGTGTACCCTTCCCGTTGCTTAAAACTCTCTAATGGCTTCCTAGCACATTTAAGATGAGAAACTTTGATTTTGCAAGGGCATCCTAGTGCCTGCTGAGTTTTCTAGACCCCACCCCCCTCCTTTTCCTTCAGTCTGAACATGCTTTTCCTTGGAGAGAGGAGACTGCCCCAAGCACAGGCCTCTGTGTTTGCTGTACCTCCCTCCCCATGCTTTCTTTGTATGTGGCATTTTGTTGTTTTGGTAATAGCTTACATGTCATCTATGAATTCTTTTCTGAACACTGATTGGAAAGTAGTTTCCCACCCCTACTGTCATACATTAATTGTTTTCATGGCACTTGTCACAATTTGAAACTCGTGTTGATAATTGTATTTACTTGTTGTGTTTCCCATTAGAGTGTAAGCTCCTTGAGGCTGAAGTTCTTGTGTGATTCATAACTGTCCCCACCACTTAGAAGAATAATAAAAGCAGCTCATGTTTGAGTATGTAGTGGCCGCCATGTATTATGTTAAGTCTTTTTCAGATATTTAATTTTCAACAGACCTGTGAAAAGTAGAATTCTGTTAACCCGTTCTGTAGATTAAAGAGAACAGGTGCTGTGTGCAGTAACTTATCCAAGGTCACACAGGTAACAGAGAACTGGGACTTAAGTAGGCCAACTCCAAGGCTCTTTGTTGACCTACTATGCTATGCTTCCTTCCCACACTTGTGGGAAGTGAGTGGCATACTGGGTGTTTTGTCAATAATTGTTCCGTGATTAGATGAATGAACCTCATGAAATGGAACAAGTTTGAATGAGATACAGAGTTGGGTGTAGGTGAATTATTTGGGGAGGAGGTTCAGAAACAGACTTTAGGAGGTCTGACTTCTAAGGTTCACTGGCTGTGTGACCTTGGGTAAACCATGTTTCATTTGACCCTCAACTGCTACATTAAAGAGTCGGGGTAGGTGCTTGAGAGAATCCTGGCTGCTGTGTCTATGATAAGATGAAAATGTATGCAAAGGTGTTCAGAAAACATGAAGGATACTCTGTGGGGCCTTTTTTAGCCTAGCAGGGTGTGCAGCACATTGGGTGCCCAGCAGGATGTTTGTAGGCTCACTGACCTGGCTGGTGGCAAGGATGAAGGGGCAGGAGACACTTATGCTGGTAGGCAGAGAGGCAAGAATTTGAGGTAGAATTTAGGAAGATATCCTTGGTTCCAGGTGCTCCCCTACCCTTGTCACTTTGTCTCCTGTTTTGGGGAATGTTGGCTAGAGTCTTCACAGGTTTAAGGAATGCCTTTGGAGGTGATTCTTTCTCAGTTGGTGGAGAAGCAACACCTTTTTTTGAGTATGCCATTTATTTCTAGTTCTCTTAATTTGCAAAATATGAATTGTCTATAAAGATGGAGAATTGGGTTTAGACCGGTTAAGGACTTTGCCCAAGGTGTTTCCTGGGTAATTTCTGGCCCTTTAATCTGTGTCTTTTGAATGCAAAAATCAAGCCTTTCTCATTACCTCAGGCTTTCCCAGACCACAGTGGTATATGTAAGGGCAGCCTGAAAATCCGTGATGTTACCTTCGTCTGACCTGCATGGGATGCTGGTAACTTACTTAGTTTAATCAGACTATTAAAACCAGAAAGAATCTTGCAGATCATTTGCTTCTTTTTCTACTTGGTTGCACTAATCAGAGGTAATAAATGACTTGTCCAGAGGCACACAGTGAGGTACATGGCCCCATGTTGTGAAAGCCATGCCTGCCTTCCACTTGTGTGCCTGCCTTGAAAGAGGAAGATGGAGGAAAGGACAGGATGATAATGAAATATTTTGGTATATGGCCTTTTTTTGTTATTAAAGTCACTTGAGGGTTGAGCTGTTTAACTTGTCTTTAGGTAGGCAAGTAAAAAATCAGCTAAAAAGACCACTAAAGTGAACAAATGAGAAGTTAACAATAGGAGATAGATGTCCCATCCCCTTCAGAGAGAATTAAATATTCTTGGAGACCACTTTATATGTAATCCCTGGGGCCTGGTCCTAGAAAGTGCTCTAGTCCACTTAACACTAAGTACTAGAGCTTTGCTCATTTGCATAGTTACTTGCACAAATTTACATAGCAAGTTCAAGCCCTAATTTCCTGGATGTAAAAGAAACTTAATTAATGCAAAATGCTGCAATTATATTCAACTACAGTTTTCAGAGCAAGCGTGTGTGAAATGCATGAAGATTGTTTCAATCCGTAAATTTAACCTCATCTTCCAGTGAGAGAAGGCACATGTATGGCCGTAATGCCCTTTGTGTGTTTAGTTTGCTTCTCTACCCTGTGGAATCAGACACCTTGGTAACTCATCTCAATTTGGTTACTTGTGGACCTCCAGACTCCTCAGAGTTTGTCAGCCTCTTCCCCTTTCCAATTGACTCCACTCAATTCAGGAACTTACTTCTAGCCAAGTTCTGAAGCTCATTACAACCCACTGGGATAGGTCAACTCCACTTTCTTTATCGTTCCTCTGATGCTGGTTTTGGACCACTGTGGAGGGAAAGACCAAGAGGGGTATAGTCAGATATGCAAGAGACAATCTCAAGACATGCTAGTGCCGCACAGACTGCATGCCATTGCACTGTGCCAAGCTACCTGTTATGCCTTACCTTGGCACATGTTTACTGCTGGCGTGTTACAGCACTGGGACTAGCCTTACAGAGACAGTAAGAAACAAAGCTAAAGTCCTGCCATCATGGAGGCCCCAGCCTAGTAGAGGGAATGGACCAAAGGGAAAGAGATAAGAGAAAAGAATAAAGGCTGCAAGTGCTAAGAAGGAACTAGGGTACAAAGAGTAATGGACTTCCTCACTCAAGATGGGACAGTCAGAGGGGAGGTGACATTGATGGAAGGACTGGAACCGGCTTTGCAAAGTATGTGTCTGCACTGCTAGACACTGTGCCTTGGGTGTGAAAAACATTATTTCAGGCATCCCACATGCTGACCTTGTGAGATATCATGATCCCCATTGTAGAGGCAAGGTAACCCCCTTTTAGAAGTGAGGAGACTAATTCAGTGATGTGAAATAACTCAAGGTCATTGATGAGTTGGTGGAAGACCTGATATTTCAGGCTTTCTGACTCTAGCTTGTGTGTTTGGTAGCCATAAAGGATAGTATTGGACAGAGGATGGTATCTAAGAAGGTTGGCCATGTGGGGTGGGGGTGAGATTGGTGAGCTCTGGGTGCCAGGCAGAGCTGGGAACACGTTATTCTGGATGCCACATTGCAGTTCTTTAGTCAAGAGCAGAATTTTCAAAGATTTCATTGGGTGTAAAATTACAAAGCAATTTTATTGACGTATAATTTCTACATCATAAAATGTATTCTTTGCAATATTTTTTAGTAAATTTACAAAATTGGGCAAGTCTCACCCCAGTCCCACTTTAGAACATCATCATGACCTGAAGAGATACCTTGTGCTTAGTGGCACTTACTCCCTATGCCCACCCTCACCTCCAGGCCATTTATCTTGTTACCTCTATAAATTTATTAGCTTTTCTGGGTAATTAATATAAATTGATTCATGTATCTTTTATGTCTGGCTTCTCTCAGCTGTGTGTGTGTGTGCACACGTGCGTGTGCTGGCTATCAAACCCAGGGCCTCTTGCATTCTAGCCGTTTACTGTCCCATTGAGCAACACCCCCAGACCAATGTGAAGTTTTTGATGTTTGTTTGTTGATGTCACTTGTGTCAGTAGTTTCTTTTTATTGCTGAATAATGTCTGATGTATGAATTGTATACTGCAGTTTGTTTATTCTGTCACTAGTTTAGGGACATTTGAATTGTTTCCATTTCCTGGCTATTATGAGAAATGCTGCTGTGGTCATTTGTTTACAAGGTTTCCTTTGTAGACTGTTTTATTGCTCATAAATAGATACTTAAGATACCTAAGGTTTACTGGATCATTCTGTTTGTGAATTCGATATGTAGTTATGTTTAGTGTTTTAAGAAACTGTCAAGTTGTTTTCTACAGTGATTATACCATTTTATATTTTTACAAATGACATGACAGTTTGAGTTCATATCCTTAGCATTGGTCTTTTTAGAATATAGCAATTCTAGTAGCTATGAAAAGGCATCTCATTGTGGTTTGAATTGGTATTTTCCTGATAACTAATGATGTTGAATATCTTGTCCTGTGCTTATTTGTTATTCGTGTGGCAATGTGCCCATTTTCAGTTGGGTTGTAATCATTGAATTAGAAGGCTACTTTGGGCTAGACACAAACCTTTATTAAATTCTGATTTGCAAATATTTTTCTTTTAATTGTATTTTCATTTTTATAATACGGTCTTTGAAGTGCAAATGTTTATAATTATGAGGAAGTTTATTTTTTCCTACAGATTATACTTTTGGTGATGAATGCAGTGTTAGAAATCTTTGGCTAATCTCAAGTCATAGAAATTTTGTCCTGTTCTTCCAGGAGTTTGATAGGTTAATTTCTGTATATATTGTGAGGTGAGGCTCTACATCAGAACCTA